TGTTTAACGAAAGGCGTCTCAAACATACGATTTCAACATCACAGTGTTTCGAGGATGTCTCAAGCGAAACGCCCATTTTTGGGGAAATCCGCCAAGCGATAAACAATTTACAGCCGGCAGCCAGTTGTCCCTCGCGAGTTTGTTCTTCATCTATTCTTTATTTCAGCTTCCTCTAATAGGCTCCCGTCACCATCTCGTTCCAAGAAGGCGCTTCCCGTCATCCGCCGAACCCTTGTGGGCCTCCAGGCCGCGAGGTGTTCCACCTCTAAAATCGGGCCGAGCGAGAGGGGGGGGTAGCAACGGGGGCGTTTGAGAATCAGCTCACGCAGCTGATTTTCCCGGCGCCTCCCGGCGCCGGAGGCGGCTATGTATCGAGGAATGGGCCCCTCGGTGGGGCCGAAACCAGCTGCATGCAGCAGGTTTCGTACCCCCCCCTTTCCCTATGCCCCCCTGTCGTCCGGCCCGATAATAGCCCCCGAGGGGAGCCCAAACTTGCTATTTCAGGGGGCCCTGGGCGTCCCCTTAGCAGTGGGCCTCGAGCTCCTCGCGGCCCCTTCGGCGAGCCGCCGGGCGTCCCCGTGGCGCCTGGAAGCTTATTGTAAGCATCGGCGGGGCATCGGATCGCCCACTGTCAATGGGGCTCTCCTGGGCCCAGGGCGTCCGACGGGGGGGGGAGGGGGGCATCTGACAGTGGGGCCCGCTGCCAATAGTAGAGGCCTCCTAGATGGGGTCGGAGCAGATGGGGTCGGAGGATCGCGCCGCATCGCCGATACATCGGTGATGCATCGGCGATGTACCGGCGATGCATGGGCGATGCACCGGCGATGCATCGTCGACGCGGGCGATGCATCGGCGGCGTCGACGCGAAGCAACTCGGGCTCCACATCGAGCCCCATCGGCGATGCATCGGCGATGCGGCGCGATCCTCCGACCCCATCCAGGAGGCCTAGACGCCAACATGGGACCCGGGGGGCCACTTGACGGGGACCCGGGGGGGGGGCTGCTGCGCGCCACGAGCGGTCCCGAGGGCCGCAGGCGGTCGCGGGGGGGGGGAAGAGCCTGGCGGCTCCTCCTCCTCCTCCTCCTCCTCCTCCTCCTCCTCCTCCTCCTCCTCCTCCTGTGGACAAACCTCCATTTGGTAAGCCTCCACTCGACGTGTCGGGGCAGGAGGTCGGTCTGTCCACCTCCGACCCGGGGGGCCACCTCACGGCGGAGCCACCATCGTCACAGGGGCCCCCCGGAGGACTGCCGACGCAGGGGCACACTGTCGGGCGGCGCGCCGCGAGGGGCCCGCGAGGGGCGCCAGCGGTCGCGGGAGGGCCCAAGGGGGGCCCTGCCAGTCCCCTGCGCCGCCCCTCGAGGCGACCCCCCCTCCCCCTATGGAGCGGGCGACCCCCTGCTGCGACCCGCGGCAGCTGCTCTCCTCGCTCCTCCGCCCAGTGCGCAGCTCTCTCCCGCCCGATGCGGCTCCGGAGGTCCTGGTCAGCACGACCCGCCACGGCATCTGCTCGCGTCTCTGGCAAAAACTGGCGAGCTTGCGACGAACTGTCCCTTCCCGCGTTCCTCTTTGCATGCGTCGCACTTGCATCTGCTACCTTTTGCAATCGCCTGAGCGCGCTCCGTGCACCGCGCTTCCCCGCGCTGCGCTATTCCGTCATCCCGCGACCCCGGCGCGCCCGTCGGCGAGACCCAGCCCTCCGTGACCGAGGAAAAAACAAGCCAAATAATGTCAGCCAGCGCTGACTCCAAATAGATAGGATGACAGGAGGAGGACGAGAAGAGGATGGGAGGATGACGAAGGGAAGACGGGAGCAGGACGGGAGCAGGACGGGAGCAGGACGGGAGGAGGAAAATCAGGCAAGCGCAAGCAAGCAAGCGGAAGCAAGCAAGCGCAAGCGAGCAATAACAAGCAAGCAAGAGCCAGCGATCAATTGCAAGCAAGCAAGGGTAAGCAAGAGCAAGCAAGCGAGAGCAAGCACGCAAGAGCAAGCAAGCACATGCCATTGGAAAAAGGGGGTGATGCCATTGGAAAAAGGGGGTGGTGCCATTCGAAAAAGGGGGGGGGTGCTAAAGACCAGTTACTGATGATGAACTAGGACTCTAAAAGGGCAAGCCTATATAGAGAAAAGTTTAAACCAACAACCAACGACGCACCTAAACCGACGAAGAAACACACCGAGGAAAACCTGAAGCGCGGAAACCAAAACACGTGGGCTGCATGGAAAGAGCGACACCGCAAACACCCAATACCTGTGGTATTATCAAGTTGAAATCCTCTTGGTTTCCGAATGAAGCCCTCAAACAAATTTCTCTGGAATCCTCTTGACCCCGAGGATTCCGCAGAACCTCGTCAGGGTGCCTGAAGATCCCTGATATTGCCTCAGGGACCATCAGAATTCACTGGGATTTCTGAAGGTTGCTCAGAAACTGTCAGGATCCCTATGGATTCCTGAGGAACCCTGCATATTTTTAAGGATTCTCAAAAGTTCCTCAAGAACGATCAAAATCTTTCAGGGTTCCCCCGGATGCCTCGGAAATCATCACCATCCATCAAGACTCGTCAGGATTCCTCGTGAATTCTCTGGGTTCTGTAGGTGTCGATGGTTTTTACTTGGACCAAGGGGCTACAGATTAGCATGTACAGTCAACACGCCTCCAAGATGCAGGCGAGCGCATCGCCTTGCATCTTCTCTGTACTGCGGCTCGAGCCTCCCTTCTGAAGGCTCAAGCTCAATCCAAAGCGGGCGTCCCCGCCGTGGCTCCCGCGCGCCTGCGCCTGACGCGCGCCCTCGGCTCAAAGGAGCGGCCTCTGGCCGCGCCCTCACCCGTCTTGGGTGGCCCTCAAAGGGTCTTTCTTTCGGCGCGGACCTACCCCGTGCTGCTGAGAAGCGCGCCTAGGTGCGCGCCTAGGCTAGCGTCCGAGCGGAACGCTCGGATGGGCACCCTGCCTGGGACCAGCCACGCGGCCCATGCCGCTGCAGCTAGCCCCTCACTGCTGGCCATGTGCTGGCCGCCGTCCCTCGTCAGACGGACGATGAGGTCCGCCTTCAAGCCGCCCACTGGCAGCTTCCGCCACCTGAGCTCCTCCTTGAGCTCTGCCACGGTGGCCTCAGCCAGCATCTTCCCGAGGTACTCCGAACCGAGGTCTCGCCCTGTGGCGACCCGCTCAGGCGCGGCCATCGCCGCCGCCCGAGAAACGACATTCCCTTCAGGCGCGTCCTTCGACGACGCCTCGGGCCTCGCCGTGTCGTCGGCCTGCGGGGCAGCCCTCGCCGCTCCCGCTGGTGGGGCAGCACTCGCCGCCCTCGATGAGAAGAGCTGTACCGCCCCCCTCGTACACATAACTGCGCCCTTGACCACGAGCACCAGCACGATGATGAACATGATCATGGCGAGAACGATCGAGCCGATGTTCGACTCGACCTCGTCGTCGGCGGCTGCAGAGCACTGCTTGTCTCCATGCTCGGCCGCCTCCGCGAAAGTGACGCCCACACCTGCGGCGAGCCCCTTGGTCAGAAGCCGCAGGTTGGACATCTCCAGCAACTTGAGCACCCGCTTGCCGTCCAGATGCTTGGTCCCCAAGTCGCTCCTGTTGCTCTCCGTGTCGACTCGCCCGAGCTG